ATGGAGGGAGGTACAGAGGCCAGAGCAAGGCGACTCAGTCCGGAGAGTCGGGGCGGCCAGGCTGGACACGGAGTGCAGGCGGTGGGAACTCTTTCCTAAGCCGGTGGAAGTTACACTGGGCTGACAACATGAAGATCTGTCATCTGCTGGAAATAACTGAGCCTAACTTGGAGTTAGCAAAAATCGTTGGGGCAGGTCATTACATCTCCCGGCACCTTGAGCCTTTCAAGGGCTCGGTATCTCCACCCCCACCGAGGAGCCTCAGAAGAAGGGGTCCGTGCCTGTCCCTCTGGAGGTGGGCGGGCACGTGCCCGTGTATGTGTGTGTGTGCCTGTGTGTGTGTGCCTCTGTGTGTGTGTGTGTGTGTGAGTGTGTGAGTGAGTGTGTCTGTGTCTGTGTCTGTGCGCGGGCAGGTTGGAGGCTGTAGCCGAAGCATCCGGTCCAAGGCGGGGCCGGTGGGGCAGACGTCCTTGCTCGCCAGGTTCGAGGTCTCTCACTCAAGCTCCTCCGATAAGCACAAGTGACTGGACTCTGGGACAAGAAGGGGGAAAGGGAGGGACAAAGCGAAGGACGCGGGAGGGACAGACGGGGGCTGCAAGTGTATCTGAACGCACCTCCAACCTCTCCCCACATCCCTCACTGCAGACCCTGAACCCGTAGCCAACCTGGGAGAAACCCACTGATTCCGAGGCCGAGCCCAAGCACAGTGCTCCTCGCTCGCTTTTTGGCTTCAAAGTCGGAGCCTCGAGCTCCAGCCTGAGCTCTGCAGCAATCAGCTGGGCGCCCTGCCCCCAGTCCAGAGTACACTCTGTTCCGGCCAAGCCCCAAACTGCAGTGCCCCCCATCCCCGGGGCCTCTCTACCCCCAAACTCGAGGCTCCCACCAAGGGGCAGGAGCTCCAAGAGCCGTTCGCTTCTACGCTGTACATGGAGGGTGGGTGGTGGGAAGAGATCTGGCTGGGCCATCGTTCTCCCAGTCAGGCGATAAACTTTTATTGAGAGCCTACCAAGTGCCCACTAAGTAGGCTAAGTGCCAGAGGGCAGAGGAGGGCGGGCCGGCCTAGCACTGATTTCTCTCAGCGTGGAGGGCTGCAGCCAGGCGCTCTGCCCTGGGGGCCTGGAGGTACGGCCTCTCCAGCACTCGGGGCCTCTCGGGGAATCCCACCCCCACGTCGTTGGTATGTAGCGCTCAAAGAGAGCTCGCCCACGTCGAGGCACACACAGTTTTGAGCAGCTCTCCGCAGCCGCCACCGAATTGTCCCCAGCCTCGAGGCTGCTTTGGGAAGGAGCTGCGGGACCCCTGCGCTCGAGGCTGCGGCTCGGAGCACACGTGAACACACACAGGTGCAGGAATACATGGAACCTCGAAGTAGCCGAGTATACGCAGTTGCCCACTCAGGAACGCCCCCCACCCAAAGGCTCTCCCAAACTCGTTCAGTCACAACCCACGGGCTCAGGCCCGAACACAAGCGGCAGGTATACTGTACCTCAGAGAGCCCTCTAATAAGCGCTGGGACCGACCCTGTCCCCTCTCCCCCCCCCCCCGACCCACCCCACCCCCTAAGCCCTAGACAATCAAACCTGGGTGGCGTAGGGCGCCTTCCACCCACCTTACATCTTCCATCCTCCTTCCACCCTCAGCTCCCTTCCCCTGGGCCCCCAAAGTCTTGCTTCCTCAGGAATCCACCCCTGCAGACTGGAGTGACTGGGCGCATTTCAGGTTAACTCGGAAGCGGGGAATTAGGCTGGCCTCCATTCTTATGGTTCCTTTTGGAGAGAAGGCGCAGGATGGAGAAGAAATACCCCCACCCTGTTTTCAACGCCCAAACCAGGCAGCCCTTCCCGTATGCCTGAATAAACCTAATTTGCGGGCCAAAGCCCGAAGCCCGAAGCCCCTTCCGAGGGCTCCTTCTTCACTTTCCAGTCTCAGACCGGCTCCACCCCACCCTCGGAAGGCCGGGGGGAGGGAGCAGAGAGGAGCGACGCCAGGCATCTTTGTATCGGGGTCTGGAAGGCTCAGATCCCACTCCAACACACCCACACCCACACCCACCCAGAGCATTCGGTCCCTGTCTTGTTGTTTTCCCTCAGTCTCTTCATTCTCTGTCTCTGTCTCTTCATTCTCTGTCTCTGTCTCTCTCTTTGAGTGTCAACATAAATGATATATATATACATGCATACGTATATCTGTGTATATACATGCATGTACACATACATCCATGCACACATACATACGTGTCCCAAAAGTCTTGGTGTAATGTTAAACTTTGATAACTGATATCTACACAACACATGCATGCACAATACATACATGCACATACATAGATGCACACATGCATGCATATATGCAAACGATATTCAGACAGTGTGGGCAGTGGCTAGGGTGCTGGGCTTGGAGCCACTCATGCCAGATACAGGCAAAGCACCCAAGTTCAGCTATGGTTTCTTCTCCTGTCTTTCCCACATTTGTAATTTCTTTCACCAGTTTGGTCAGAGGGCAGGGAACCTCGGGAAGTCCCCTGGGCCCACTGCGGGATGGCGAGGGGCTAGGAGGGAGGGGGAGCCTGAGGGGCTGGAGAGGGCGTGGAGCGGCTCAGCAGGTGGGGAGGTTGCTCGCCCACGGCCCTAAAGTCAACCAAACAAGAGAATGAGAATGCCCCCCCTCACTCCTAGGCCACTCCACAGGGGGAGGGACAAACGGGCTGGTGGTTAAGCACAGTGCCTGGCATATAGTAGGCGCTTAATACATGTTTATTGATTGGTAGATTGCTGTTGGCTCCCCCATCCACCATAGGCTGCGAGTTCCTGGCGGACTGCACCTACAGTCTTTCTGTATCTCCGGTGCAGCTCCTGGCCTCCAGCAGGCGCTGAAATGCGTCTCGGATCGAATCGGCTTGGCCTTCTGTTCAACACGGTCTGCGCCCTGTGCCCTCCCCCCACCTACCTCTCTCTGTTTCTTGGCCGGGTCTGTGTCCCTCTTCTTCCCTCCCTTCCACCATTGTCTCCAGCAGATGTTTGAGGCGGACGCCGCTGCTGGGCTTCCCTCTGGTCCTAGCCAGCCCAGACCGATACCGCAGGCCCCGGGCTCCTCGGAGTGTCAGGTTGGCTTCTCGAGACCCACGCTACGGGAGTGGCTAGAGCTCCTTCCGGCAAATTCGCGGACCCTGCCCCAATGCGCGAGAGGCCGTTTCCCCTCCCCAAGGCAGGCTCCCCATTATCGTCGGGGAGGATAAAGGGCCCGACACCACCCTGACCGAGAGACTGACAGATCGGCAGCAGGCAGGAACTCAAGGTCTCCAGGCCTCGCCGGCCGTGGTGCCCACAGCTCAGGGCCTGCTTGGGGAGGTTGGGGGGGGGGGGGTCCAAGCAGGAGCCCAGTTCTGGCAGCCGTGGCAGCCTTGTCTGACTTCTTCCTGAGCAACGACGCCCTGGTCATCAGAGCTCAGAGAAAAGCAGGAGACTCTGAACCTTCCAGCTCTCCCAGAGCGACGTCTCCATTCGTTCTTTCGTTGGGCCCGGCCCTCGGGGAAACTCAGGGGGAAGGACACTGTGGATGGCAACCATGTCCCAAAGCCAAGCCGGCCAGAGGCTGCTGGGGCAGCGCAGACGGTGTCAGCCCCCGTTCCTCCTCTCTCTTCGGCCTCGGTCGAGGTCAGGGCCCCAGTAACCTGCCCCCGCCTGGCCCGGCTCGGGTCCTCGCCGAGCCGCTGCCCGCCACCGTCAGTAGCCTCTCAGCGTCCACCTCTCCGGATCATTGCACCTTTTCCTTCAGTAGCAGGAGAGCCACGGCTTGCCCTGTGGGCCTGTATTGCCATCCTTCGGCGTCCCAGAGCGTCCCACTTTTAAGCCCCTGTGGCCCATTCTCCCTGTCTCTCCCTCCGTGGCCTACGCCCCTGGGTCCTCCTCCGTGCCTTTTCCTCTCTTGTCCCCTCTGCTCCACCCTCCGGGCCTCTGCCCTCTGGGTCTCCATCGCTCCCACCCAGGTCCTGTTTCACCCAGGCCAGATGGGCATTTTGCTTTCCGGAATCTGCTGGGTCCCACGCACGTCGCACTCCTGGCTCTAGAAATCGACCTGCTCCCAAACTGAGCCTAGAGGCTCTCGATGTGGTTCCGAGTTCCCCTCACAGCATCAGCCCCGCCAAATGGCCAGGCCCGGGACGGACAGAGCTGCACTGCGCTCCATCAGCAGCCGATTTACTAGGGCCAGGGCTGGGGCACCTGGCTGCCAGCCCGCCCCGTCGCACCTCGTGGAGGGGCCCTGCCCGTGACGCGCATGCAAAGTGGGCGCCGGCCTGGCGCCTCGGCCAATGGGTGCCAGCCCCGGCCAAGGCCCGGCCAATCAGGGCCCGCGCCGCGCAGGTGGCCAGGCGGTTATCAGCGCCTCCAGTGGCGCGCGGCGCTCAGCTCCGAGCAGCCCGGCTGGCCAGGAGGCAGCGACACAGTCAGGGACGCGGGGACGCCAGAAGGCCAGGCTGCAGAGAGAGAGGGAGCAGAGCGAGGAAGGAGCTCGCGGACGCCGCTCGGAGCCTCGCTGGAGACTGGCCGCCTTTCTCTTTTTCGCTGCGTCTGGCGCGGTCTCTGCGGCCTCCACTCCCCACCACGGACCTCCTGGCCGCCTGCCCCCTGCGCTCCTAGCCCTTTTGCGCGCTTCCCGGCTCTGCTGTTGATTCTAAGCTAAGGACGGTCCGCGGGACTTGGGCGAGCCCAGTGCGCAGAGCTTTGCAAGCAGGCCATTTCAGCATCCGTCCAGCTGCTCTGCGGTCTGCTCTCCCCCGCGGCCGCCCGTGAACGTTGAGTGTGCCGGACTCTGCTGGCCGCTGACTTTTTGCCGTGGGCACTTGGGGCGCCGCGGGTTTATGCTGCTGTAGAGCCCTCCTTCCCCCAGGGCATTCGGTCTCCAGGCCGCTCCGCTCAGACTAGGCGGCGGCTGGAGGGGGCGGGTGGCCCGGCGGCCAGGCAGGGGCGCCTCTAGGCCCGCTCCCTCGCCATTGATGGTGACCAATGTTAGCGGTGGGGCCCATGGATGCCAACCCCCGCCAGAGCGCCTTCGTGCTGAGCAGCACGCCTCTGGCTGCTCTCCATAACATGGCCGAGATGAAGACATCGCTGTTCCCTTACGCTTTGCAGAACCCGTCCACCTTCAAGGCTCCTGCCCTGAGCGGCCTGAACGCCCAGATGCCCCTGGGCACTCCACACGGCATCAGTGACATTCTGGGCCGGCCCGTGGGCGCCAGCAGCAACCTTCTGGGCGGCCTGCCAAGGATCGGTGGGCTCGCCACTTCGGCCGGCATGTATTTCAACCCCGCTGCGGCCGCTGCAGCCGCTGTCTCCAGGTACCCAAAGCCCCTGGCAGAACTTCCCGGCCGCCCTCCTATCTTCTGGCCCGGAGTCATGCAGGGCTCCCCGTGGAGGGACCCGCGGATCGCTTGCCCTAGTAAGTGCGGCATACCCGGGAGGGGAGAGAGTTCAGGGGAAGTGGGGCCAGGGAGGGGGCCAGGGAGAAAGGCAGCTCGAGCGGGATCCGGCAGGAGCTCAGCCCACTGCAGTCCGCCCCAGGGCATGGACAGCGGCGCTTGGGCCAAAGCTCAGGGACCTTCTCAACGAGGGACCGTAGTGATTTCTCGCTACCCACCGATATCGTTGAGGGTGCAGGCAGCGCTTTCTGAAGTTTAGGGACTTTGCAGGTCCACACACGCACACACGCGCATACACACGCACACACACGCACACACTCACCCAGGAGCCGGAACTTGGGCGACTCGTTTGGAGTCTCCATTCCAATGTCGATTTTCCTCAAAGTCACACGAATTACATGAAGCGCCTGGCGCTCCGCGGAGGGGGCCGTCAGACGCCTTTGGAGGCTTTGCCCGGAGGCCCTCCCTTGTGAAGACTGGAAGCGAGTTATGTCTGCTCCGCTTTGGGCCGCAGGAGCTGAGCCGGGCGCCCGCGGGCCGACCCACTACGGCGCGCGGCAGCAGGGAGGGCACAGCTGAGCGCTGGGGAGGGTGTGTCACATGTGCCTCTATGTGAATGTGCATGTACTCGTGTGTCTGGGGGCAGGGCCCAGGGAGCGGGAGGTCGGTGGTGCCTCCCCACGCCGCCCCTGCCCCTGCTAGCTCCAGGAGTCTCGGCCCGCCTGCCCGTCTGCCCGCCGGGCTGTCCCGGTTCTCTGGCTCCTCCCGGCCGGCCTCCGCGACTAGACCGCAGGTCTAGTCCTCCAACGGCCTCCAGCTAGGCTGGCAGGAGGGCGGGCGTTCCGACCGCTGCCACTCTGACCCGGGCCCGAGCCCAGACAGAGGGCATGGGTGGGAGACGGGCTGTGCCAGGTGGGAGCCCTGGGACCCACCGTGGTCTTGTCGCCCCTCCCCGCAGCTCAGGGCGGCCTGGCGCTGGACAAGGACGGCAAGAAGAAGCATTCGCGGCCCACCTTCTCGGGCCAGCAGATCTTTGCCCTGGAGAAGACCTTTGAGCAGACCAAGTACCTGGCAGGCCCCGAGAGAGCGAGGCTTGCGTACTCGCTGGGCATGACCGAGAGCCAAGTGAAGGTGAGCCGAGGCTTGGGGGCGCCGCGGGCGGCATGCCGGGTGGGAGGAGTGTTCGGAGTTGGGGAGCCCGATGGGACCAGGCCATGATCATCGCCTGGACGTGGGGATATTCGTTTGCTGACTCGCAGCAAACAGTTCATGTGAGCTTATAAGCAGTTCGTGTGAATCGTAAAACCGCGAATTCAAGAGGATTTACGATTTCCTGTCGGGAGCTCTTCCTGGGCTGCCCTGGGACGTGAATCGGGACCTCTTTAGGGCCACTAGCGTACTTTTAGGGCATCGAGTCTGAAGGCTGCCCTAAAGTTGGACTCTGTCTCACGTATGGACAGAGCAAGGTGTGGGGAGTGGATTCCCAAGATGTGTGCATGTGTATATGTGCACCTGTATATATGTGTGTGTGCGCGTCCCCCCAATAAGTGCCGGGGCGGGGGCATTAGGAGCAATTTCTCTAAGAATCAACTTTCCTAAGCGCAGTAAAACCATGCTATGTCTTTGTGTGCGGGTATGTATTACCGTGCAAGTAATGTTCTCTCGATGGAACGCCAATTCACAAGTACATTTATATAAATTAGGATCCTTTCTCCAATAATATTTTTAAATGGCTATCGGTATGTTTGGGCCACATCGGGCTCCATTGAGGCAAGGCCGCAGACTTTCCTCTGCACATTTACATTGGTGTGTGGATGTAGCCACAAGGTTGGGGGCCCAGGCCTCCACAGAGCTTGGGGAGAAACAAAAGACCAGCTGACCGAGAGGCAGAGCGCTTTTACATCGGGCAGAGAGTGGATTTCCATTTTGGATCTGTGCCGAGCCTCGCCTCCCAGAAACCCTGAGAAAGATACAAACGGGCTCTTGGCCGGACAGAGTTGCTCTCTCCAAGAGCCCAGGTCCCTGAAATCCATAACTTAAGTGGTCCCTTCCGGAGAAATCTGTTGACTGGGGAATCGAGGAGGGGTCAGATTAGGGGCTCCATTGCTACAGGCGGGTTCAAGTTCACATTTCAATTAAATTATGTTAAAATACGTTTGGCTGTGTGTACACTTAACACGGATTAATTTCATAAAGTTTAAAAAAAAAAACCTTTCCTATCATTCAAATTGTGGGGTGTCTGTGTAACACTGAGATCTATTTCTCTAAAAGCATACTTTCCTGTCTGCATTTAGATGATATTTTCCCTTTCTCTCTCTCTGGGCAAGTCTAACATTGGATTCCATTTTCTCGAGAACCTATGTCTCGATCCACATTTTAACTGTGTGTTTATGTGTGTATCATATTGAAGTTCATTTCTTAGAGAACCTACCTTCCTTTCTATGCATGTATATCACTGGGGCCATTTCTCCCAGAATATACTTTCCCCTCATATGTCACATGTATCCCGTCTCTGTGTATGCCAGTGTTTATGTATAAGGCAGGATGGATTTCTCAAAGAACAGACATTTCTCTTGGCATTTAAAGTGTGCTCTCTGGGTCTGTTTCTCTAAGAATATGCTTTCCTGTCCACGCTTAAATTCTATTATGTATGCATGTGGATTTACTGGATTGTGGTCCATTTCTCCAAGAACAGGAATGTTCACATTTAAAGTATATGCTCTCTGTCTGTTCTTTCTCCTTCCTTGCGTGTCTCTGTGTCTCTGTCTCTGTGTCTGTCTCTCACACAAGCATTAGATTTTTTTCTGAGAAAATACTTGCCTATACACATTTAGATTAAATTATTCATAAGTGTAGATTGTAATCTATTTCTCCAAGAACACAAATGTTCACATTTAAAGTATGCTTTTTTGTTCTGTGTCTCTCTGTATCTCTGTCTCTCTCAATTCTGTTTCTCTGAGAACATGCTTGCCTGTCCACATTTCAATTACATTATTCGGGAGTGTGCATGTACTGCCTTGTATAGCCAATTTCTCCCAAACCATGAATGTTCACATTGAAAGTACACACTCTCTGTCTCTTTTCCGTCTCTCCTCTCTGTCTCCCTCACACGTCATTTTCGTTTCTCTGAGAACAAATTTGCTTGTCCGTGTTTAAGTTATGGATTTACTTCATTGTAGGCTATTTCTTCAGGAACATAAATGTTTGCGTTGCTACCATAGGAAGTTTAGCTCTGGCTACCCTGTAGCCTGCGGGCTCTTTATTTCTCTGAGAACACACGTTTAACTGTGCACATTGGGTCTGCATGTGTACCTTATGCCCAGGACTTAGCACAGCGCTTGGCACACCAGGCTCTCGATAAATGCTAGTAGACTGACTGACCGACCGATAGACTATGTAGCGCTGGGATTTCTTCTTCCCAAGACGTTCGCATTTCTGTTCGCATTTACTGGACGCTCTTTCTCTATTTTATTTATCTATTTATTTATCTATCTATCTATCTATCTATTTATTTATTTATTTATTTATTTGTTTGTTTGTTTATTTATTTATTTTTGGTCAAGAACTTTGGGCTTCATTTCTCTGAACACACATTTCCCAGCAGTGCCCACCGAAAGCTCAATTGTCGGCCCACTTCGGCCCCAGCGTGGCCACCCGCTTTCCTCCTGCCCCCAACGCCGACGGTTCCGGCTAAAGGTTGAAGTCGGTCGAGTTGAGCAGAGAAGGTCCCCTCAGTCCTTTTTTCACTTCATTGATTTCAGCAATAAGCGGGGGGGGGGGGGGGGGGGCAGGAGCAGAAAATCGATTTTCGCCTTTTCGCAGCGCCAACCTCTAAGGCCATGAAAGCCGGCCGAAGCGGGTTTTCTGGGGGCTGGGGTTCTCTGGGGTTTTACGTGGGAGATCAGAAAGAAAATCTTTTCCCCGACCTTTTTCCTTTCCATCTTACCGTTAACTCCGATCCTCACCCCCTTTTAAAATTTTGTTGTTTTTGAAAGAACTCGGAAATGCGCATGGGATCAAATAAGGTTTTAGGGGGATGGCTCCATGAGCGCCTCCCGTCCCGCTTTCCGCCTGGCTGCCTCGGTCCCAAGACACTGTGTTGGCCTCTGTGTTCTCCCGCGCTATTTTGTAACCAAGGAATGCTCTTTCCCCGCCAAGGTCTCTGAGAAATGCGGCAGGGGCCTGCCGGGCTTGTCCAAAGGGTTAGTGAATGGGCGAGTTTAGCAGGGCTGTTACTGAGTGGGGCCGGTCCCCAGGGAGGAAGGGGGAGCGCCCTTCAATTGCCAGGAAGAGGGAACTTTCCTTGAGCAAAGAACCCTGGACGAGGACTAGTGTGCGGGGTGGTCTCAACAGAAACCCCAAGTACGGGTGTGGGAAAGGCGACCGGATCTGCGTGCGCACTTGCGTGTGTTTGTTGTGTATATTTGTGCGTGTACGTGGGCATGTGTGCCTCTGTGTGCGTGTGTGTACGTGGGCATGTGTGCCTGTGCAGTGTGTGTGCACGCGCGTGTGTGTGTGTGGAGGGGCGGCACACAGGGTCTCGGGCACCCTACACTTGCCCCCCACCCACTCTCCAGCCTTCCCCTGGCCCCCACCCACATGTCCTTGTGTCTCGGCCCAGGTGTGGTTCCAGAACCGGAGGACCAAGTGGCGGAAGCGTCACGCGGCCGAGATGGCGTCGGCCAAAAAGAAACACGACTCGGAGACCGAGAAGCTGAAGGAGAGCTCGGACAACGAGGATGACGACGAATACAACAAGCCCCTGGACCCCAATTCGGATGACGAGAAAATCACGCGCTTATTGAAAAAGCACAAATCCACAAACTTGGCGCTGGTCAGCCCGTGCAGCAACAGCTCGGACGCTTTGTGAGCGGCGCGGCGAGGGTGCGGGCCCCGGGGCACCGAGGCCCGGGGCCGCCCCTCCCCAGACGGCCTCAGCAGGCTCGTGTGTCGCCAACCCTGTCAGAGGGCGACTTGTCTGTCGTGCGTGGCTGGTGAAACGCGGCTCGTGCTGTACAGCTGAAATGTATGTGGGATGTATATATTTTTTACAAAATAAGTTATGAAACCCTCTGACGCCTCCTTGCTGTCTGTTGGACGGTCGGGGCGGGGGTGCCGGGCAAGGAGGTGACTGTGGTTTTGTGGGTTCAGGATAGCTCCTTCGCCAGTGGCCACCTCTCCCCATCTGGTGCAGGCGCCCAGGACGCGAGCGGGACACCCAGTAGCGTGGACCCCCGGAGCCCATAGCTCCTGCTTCCCGTCTCTTGACTCCCTGAGACCTGGGAGCCATCACAACGGGTGGCCGTTCTGGGACCCCACAAAACCCGACCAGAGTCAGAAACAGAGACAGAAGACGAAGGGGATAGAACAGAGAGAGAACGAAACACACGCAAGAACAAAGAGACAGGCAGGTAGGCAGACAGACAGGCAGACAGGCAGACAGGCAGGCAGACAGACAGGCAGACAGGCAGACAGGCAGACAGGCAGACAGGCAGGCAGGCAGGCAGACAGGCAGACAGGCAGACAGACAGGCAGGCAGGCAGGCAGACAGACAGGCAGACAGGCAGACAGGCAGACAGGCAGGCAGGCAGGCAGACAGGCAG